ACGCGAAAAACCACCGTGAGGGAAAATTGGCGCGAAAGTGACAAAGACATAAAATTCGTTCTTGCGCATGGTTCCCGACATCGCAGCCACCTCCGCTTAGCATTGTTGTAACGTCCACAACGTATACTTTCATTTTACCTGCGTTCTGGCATACCGATTTTAAAATGGAACGCCCTAATAAGAGGTGAATTGAAAACCTCAATTTTGGGCGTATGTTTTTCTGGACTAAACACGCAATTTTACGGCCCTCTGGGTGAAAATTTTAAGGAGAAGGCTCTATCTCTGCCGGTGCCGGTTTGCATGATATGAATTGTTTTTATATTGCTGTAAATAAGCAACCTTTTCCCTTCCAATAATAATTCGTGGCTCGAAAACCGGCTGAGATAGAGCCTTCTCCTTAAAATTTTCACCCAGAGGACCGTAAAATTGCGTGTTTAGTCAAGAAAAAAATACGCCCAAAATTGTAGTTTTCAAAACCACCCCTTATGGCAGGTCAGAATAACAGGCAAGGTAGGGTTATGAAAACTTTGAAGGAAAAAACTTAAAAAATGTTTCCAGGAGTTTTTATCCAAAATGGCGCCTGGAAAACACTATTACAACCCAAGAATCGAAAATAAGCGATATACGACTTACCCTAACCACCAGGGGGAGGGGGGTGTTTCGGCCAAGTCACGTGACTATTAATTACCTGCTAAAATAAGCATATTTTTGAGAAACACTAGCACAAATCCGATTATTTCGTGACAAATCACTGAAATCTGACGGTGTTTAATCAAAAAGTCACCACTAAATTAAGTTTTGAATACCAGAAAACATGCACTTTTTGTTAAAATGCTCTATATAGTCGTAAATAATACATATGCTGAAAACCACGTGAAATTGGAGGGGGGGGGGGGTCCCCGAAACCACCACAGACCACCACAGGGGGGGAGGGGGGTGGTCAAAACCCACCAAAAACCCGTCACGTGGTTTGCGTACGATCTCTACCCGATGCCTACTGTATTGTTCTTGTCCTTAATGTATCTTTTTGCGTGATATTTTTGTGAATTAGCCTATTAATCATTACTTTTATAATTGAACACAATTTTTGGCGTGGGCGCTGGGCAGCGCGCGCAGGGGGCCGACTACTCAGAGCAATGTGTCTATTGTTGCTCTGGTACCCGGGCGTGGGTGTGGAGCTGCTTAACAGGTGGTTTGAAACCATGACGCACCCGCCCGCCCCCCCTACTGTCTGGCAGAAACGGGTCCGTTTAAAAAACACTCTGGCACCCAAACGGTGCAAAGTTGGAGCGAAAAATACTGAAATTAGCCTAGCTTAGCCAAACTTTGAGATAGTCGAAAACTGAAGACGAAATCTAAAATGGCACCTATCGTACAGTGATGGCCTCCATCCTTGTGGGATCGGCACCTTAACTACCTTAACCTTCGAAGGACAAGATTTGTTCCTTCGAAATCTTCAATAGTTAGGTCCTCATCAGTTTAAAAGTACTGCGGTCATAAACTACACGATATATGCCGTTCCGTTAACCCTTTCCTTTACGTCACAGAGTACACAGTCATGTGCGCTAATTTTTGTCAAAATACCAGGGGTGGATGAGGGGGGGGGGCGAACGGATATTAATGCCGAAAAAGGTTATGTTCCCGCAGGGTTACAGGTTACAGTCCGCTTTTATGTATCAAATTGAAGCCCAATTCTTAAATAAGAGAGTCTTTCGTCCGTTTCTCTGTGAATCGTAGGTTTTGTTTAAACAATCGCCCGATTCCGTGCATTAAAAGATTTTCATGGGTGTGCCCAATAAAATCTGACGTGTTGTGCACGAGTTTACAGTGCACGCTAGTAGGTTCCTGGTTCCTGTTAGATTGACCTGTTGCAAACTGAATCGGGGGGTCGAGCAGAATCGTATTAGCCGTTAGGTAGTTTGTAACGAACCTGCTCGGGTTTCTTTAGTGTTTGTTTTCTTAAATCATCCAGCCGTTTTCTAGTTAAAATCAGACACCATCTTCAACCCCTACTTAATCTTACACTTCACTAAGGGACCCCTTTCATTTTCCTTAAATTTGTAATGTGGTTAAAAGAAAGTCGTGGAAAACCCAGCATCAGAGTGGTGTAATTTGCTAATGTAGGGCCCCGTGCGTTAACATTATGCGCGGGCTAGCTAAGCAAAGTGCATTAAAACAATAGGTGATGTGACAAATGTCCTGTGAAACTATAATGAATGAGGGCCCACCAAGTAGGTAGGCAACCGATTCACCTCCTTGAACGTGAGAGGGGAGAAGGGGGTCTCTTCCAATGAGGCCTAAGCGACGGCGCTGCTTCCAGGTCTAGCCGATAGGGCGCAGCACGCTGAGTCCACTATGGGAAATCGTGCGCTCAAAATAGTGGTTTGGGTTCTACGCAATTACATCAAGTCGTATCATCACTTGAAAAAGGATCTCATTTAAGTTATTTCGGCATCGAACGCGTATGGTCCATCAGATAGGCGCAGCTGACCTGTTTATTTCTCATAGTGGACCCAGAGCGTGCTGCAGCCTAGCGGCCGGAGCTGGAAGCAGTGCATGCCGCCCCCCCCCCTCTCTCCGCCTCTCCCGAGGGGTAATTCACGATAAATTCAAGTATACACCACTTTGTCTTCTTTTGTAATTTTCCTCTGATTTCCCCTTTATTTTCTCTTTCTTTTAATAATTTTTTTTTCTTGTTTCTGTTTTTTTCTAGTTGTTCAAATGATTTCTTAATGGTTTTTCTGATTTCCCCCCTGAATTTCGCTGAGCGAAGCCTAATCCAAGTCGATAAGGGGTCAGGCGGTGTCTCCGTCGTGAGTCTGTGTGTGTTTACGTTCCTCTTTTTCTGGGAAACGGCTTGTCCATGTACGGAATGTGAGTTTGACTGAACATCTACACTCGTGAGCAAAATTAAAGCACCTCTTTTTTGACAAGGGCGTAATTTCGAAGTGTGATTAGGTGGGAGGTTGCCGTTTGGCAGGAAGATAGGCTCATATGTTGGCAACAGACCCCTAAAAGCGCAAACCTTGATCTTGATTGGTTCGCGAGCTGTGGGGCCTAACGCATCGCGACACCCCACTTCGCAGTGTGTTTAGGTAACAGAGGTTGCTTTGTGACGCTCCCCTGACCGATTGGGGTGTTGGATCCGGCTGAAAATTTAGGGGACTACTCTCCTAGGTATAGCTGACATAATGTCGTGTCAAAAAACTGCCCTTGCGAACTTCCAACCCTTTCTAACCACCCCTTAATTGTTAAAATAACAAAATGGCAAATTAGGTTGTTGTTTTTTTTAAGTTACAAAATTAAAAGTGTAATGCAAGATTTGGATTCCTTTTTCAAAATTAAAAAGGAAATGTCTTCTGCTCAAAGCCGATCAGAGTCGAAATAGCAAAGTTATTGGTCCTCGAACTGACAAAAGTGCCAAAAACGACCAAAGTTCCAATTTGGTGTGGAAAATCTCTGCCTTTTCGATTCCAATCTTCTTTGAGCCTAAAACATTTTTATTTTCGTTCGTCAAGATAAACCCGAAACATTAGTTACCTTGCCACTTTTTTCCCGATCCAGTCCCCCCCCCTCCCCCTCCAACTTACGTACGTTAACACCTAAACCATTCGAAATATCACTCGTTTCTTTCCACCAGACACTCGCGGGACGAGTTCCGGAACACTGAAACTAAAAATATCACTCTCGGCTTGACGATCCGTCAATTTAAACCCTCGTAAGAGAGTAAGAAAGTCTTGAGGTGGCTCATGTGTCGTTTGCGCACTTTACCCAGTCGAGTGCAGTGCTTCCAACATACCAACAAACTACGAGCGAATGGGGTGTTCCAGGCTACCTAATACGGGAGTGAAAAAGAACAAACTCACTGATTTACCTGTTTCCGCCTGTTCAGTTTGAGAAATTATCATGGTGGTGTGGTCCGATTCTAACCTCTCAAATTTGAGGGGGAGCTCGAAACTGATCTGACATTTTCTCATACCTGAAAGGCCGTAAAGGCACGTCATCATCTCGACCAATAAGAGCCTTTACGGAAACAGAAAAGTCAGTGAGTTTGATCTTTTCCTACTTCCGTTTTAGATAGCCTGGAACACCCTATTCAAATAAAACAGTTGAATATTTCAAACTAAACAAATCCTGAAAGTAAATCGATGGTCGGATAACTCCCCCGCCAAATGTACACTCCTAATTCTGCCCAATTCAAACTAATTCAGACCAATTCAATTTAATTCAACACAATTCAGAAGTAATTCAAACGAATTCAAAAATATTTCAACTAACTAATTCAGTCCAATTCAAGGAAATTTACATTTAATTCAAGTCAATTCAAGCCAATTCACGGTAATTCAGTAAAACAAAATCACAATAATTCAAACTAATTCAGAAACAATTCAGCCAATTCAAATTACATTCAAGCCAATTCAAGCCAATTCAAGCCAATTCAAATCCAATTCTTGAAGTTTGTACACCCAATTCGGGAGTTATCGACCCCTCGAAGTAAATGCATTTGAAACTGCCCCAAGAAATGCCAATGTTTGAACAAACTCGCATTTCGTCATCGGTGCAGCAAGTAGTTATGGATGCTAATGAGAACACAGACAGACACACGACGGTGATATCGCCTGATCCCTTGGTGACTTGGACTGCAGCGACAAGAATCGCAGTGTTTAATTTCAAATTCAATTTTTAAAATTTCGTTCGTCGGTACGTGCTCTAATTTATCTTTTAAGGGTGAAGATATTCAGAAAGCCAGCCTCCGGATGAAGAGAGGACAGCTTTTAAGCAGAAAAGAGTGCGGCAAGAAGCTGCTTGCCACAATCACATCCCAAGAATTTTGTGTAGCCAATTCCCCGGACAATGTAAGTAACCCTTCGATACAAAAATTTTACTTGAACTTGTAATTAACATTGTCAACACAACATTTTCTCCTGGAATCGCAGGGTGTTTCGGGAAGTCCTGCGTTCATCGGCAATATTCTGTACGGAATCATGTCATGGGGCAGTACAGTCTTCACGGACCTTGCTGCACCTGAAATAAACTCTTTTATAATGGCTCATGTTCGTACGTGAAGTTTTGAGAAAGCTTGATGAAATAAAAATGTGAATATTGCATTGGACTCGTAACCAAAACGTCGCACTACAGTAAACCCCTTAAAACATGTTGCCGTTCAGCTTGCTGGTTGAATACATTCCATAAGAATAGTTGCCGGCGCGGTTTTAAGTCCGTCTGACGGAGGGTGCGATTTGCTGTGGGTTGCTTACTTTCGGGGGCTTTGTCGGACAAATTGCCTACCCACCCCCCAGAAGGCGATTTTGGGCCGACGGGGG